ACAAGTGCATAAGAGTGCAAACTAAAAGAATGAATGTTCTTGTTCAATTTTTCTTTGAATTTCTCTTTACTTTTGCTTCAGCTTTATTTTACTTTGTCTAAATGCAAACAAACCGAATTAATGCAAAACCTGAAACAAAAAATAAATCAGAATTTGCACTCTCTTTCTTATTGCACCATACATATGAAATTGCATTGCAAACAAACTAAACTTAAATATATATTGTCATTAATGCACTTGGATGCTTGCCCTCTATGGCCAATTCATATTTCTAATATATATATATATATATATATATATATATATATATATGTAATAAAGTAATTCCAAAAGTGGTTTGTTATCACTTTTAAATAGAACTAAAAGAGTGGTTAACGCCACTTTCAATTAGGAGGCTTCAAGCTTAGTCATGTGTCAAACCACTCTTACAAAAATGAGGGTAGTTAAATAAAAAACAACTAACCGTTTTTCATCTCTATAAAAATAAAACTTAATTTAATCTCTTAAATTAAATAATAAAAAATGGGTGTCAAATAAAAATTAAAAGCATACATGAGTAAAAATATATCAGAATACTAGCCCATACTTGGTAGTTGGTACGGGGGACCATGCCTAATGTATAATTAAGAAAATCCGATTAAAGGAGAAAAAAATAAACTGAAGACAAGTCTAAAATCAGAAAATCTATTACTCTTTCTTTCTCCTTCCCTACTAAATTTTGTATAGAAACCTCAATTGGCATATAGAAACCTCAAAACGCTGTTGACTTATATTAACGACTAGCCACAGTTGGCATATAGAGACTAAGAGTTGCTATTCATAATGTTATGATTGAGAATAAGGTTATTTTTTCTCTTCTCTTTTTAGTAGAGAGAATAAGGGTATGTTTGGTTTCAAAGAAAATAAGAGAAACAAAAATTTGAGAGAAAGTTCTTAAAACATTTTGTGAAATTCTATAGGTCTAGTTTCTTTGCAATGCAATTTTATTTGCATTGGTGCAAAAGTATGGGAGTGCAAATGATTTTTGTGCAAATTGTGATTTATTTTGTTTTTAAGTTTCATCTTATATATCTTGTTTATTTGCAGTGCAAATAAAATGAAAAATGAAACATAAATGGACCAGAATTTGTATTTTTCTTGTTTGCAATCTCATAAGTTTGTACTAGTGAAAATTAAATTGCACTGCAAACAAATAGAAAGAACTTTCCCTCAAATTTCCTCTCTTAATTTCTATGAAACCAAACACAACCTAATACGTCTCCCTGCCTTAATTTTGATAGAGAGAAGTTGATTCTCACTACAATAATCAAAAGAATGAGGAGTGATAGTAATCAACCAGTTTATGCAACTCAAATAAGATGTGTTTCATTCCTAGTCTTGTTTTGTAACATTTACTAGAATTCATACCATCGAAACAAGAAAAGGAAATGTAAGGAATTGTTAGGCTCTCCATGCTGATCCTCTAAAAGAGAGGTCAGGACTGCCTAAACAAACCAAGAGAAGAAAACTTAAGAACCAAATCAAGGGAGAAAAGAAAGGGAACAGCAGCACGGTCCTTCTAATTGCTGTTCTGCATCCTGCATGTTTAAAGATTTCTAATATGTAAATATGATAGATCATACCTTGAAAATATATATATTGTTTATATTTGTTAGGGATGCAAATCGGGTTGTCCGATTTAAAGGATCTCAATTACATCGGGCTGAGATTAGGGTTTCAATACATTAAAAGTTTATCAAATTCCGAACCCAAATTCAGGTATCTCACCATCATTTAAGCCTTTATCCCATTTATATGGAGTCAGCTACATGAATTTTGTTTTATGCTTAATGTCATTTTCACTGTTAAATTATGGGTACTAAATAATTTTTTACTATTTGGTACATCAATTTCAGATATAAATCACTAAATAATTTTTTACTATTTGGTACATCAGATTCAGGGGTGTAAACAGTAATCGAAAATCTGACTTCGAATTTGGGATTCGGTATAATCGAATCGAATTCGAATAATTCGAATATATAATCGGATTCGAATTCAGATATGACCTTATTCGATTCGATAAATATCTGAATTCAACTAATTATTTAATTCTTATATATAATATATAAAATTTTTAAATGTTTTATATAATTTATATATATAATAATTAAATTATATAAATAATTATATATTTATATACTTTATATAAATAAAATACTTATTTTATATATTCATTAATTACCTAAAATAATTAATTAGTTGAATTTGAATCGAATTAAATATTCGAATATTTAATCGAATTCGAATTTAGATAATCTGATAAGATTCAAATTCGATCCATTTATACCCCTAAATTCAGGTATGATTTGCAACTCTATCGGCCACTAAATAGCTTGGCATTATCATTCTTTTTCTTATTTACAGGAGAAATATATAAGAAACAATTTGAATATTATTAGCACCAATTTTAGGAGTAAAGGAATTAGAGATGTATTGTGGTAGCACAGACAGCATATCTTGTATTAGAATAACTTTTATTTGCTTGTGGAAGTAAAACTGTTTCTTATTCTATCACCAGTCTAACTTCAGCTTCAGTCATTAACCACTTAACCTGTTTGCAATTATACTCTTAACAAACAAAGCAATACGTCATTCAGTTCAGCCATCGATCTATGGTCTTAGGAGTGGACTGAATACGATTCTAAACTTTGGCATTTTTTCACACTAAGCGGCTGTTATGAGACTCAAATCTATGTTCTCATTCTTGACATTCCAATTAAGCTTGTAGTGGCCCCTGTTTTGACCTGACTCATGATTGTCCCATTTAGGCTTGGGCATTATATCCTTAGCTCATGGCTAGTCCAATTCGGACAACACTGCTCTAGAATACAACTGAAAGCCTGTTTATTGGGGGGCTGAAGGCCTGAAGCTTTGGTTGAATTGCTTTTGTTGACCTGCTTTTGAAGAAGCTACTTAGATATGGTAATTTGTCCCATATCCATGGGATTCAGGGTGGGTTATTTGACCATTGATCAGATAAGTTCAATTTGCAAGTAGGAATGACCTAAGTAGGGTGTTACAAATTTGGGTTTCCTGTCTCCATAGAGATGGGGTTGGGATTTCTGGCCCTGTTGAGGTACGGGGCAGGGTATTTGAGTTTGGGGTCGGGGACAGAACATACAAAACCCAGCCCCATTGTCAGTCCTAAAGCTACTAATATAAGCTGTCCTGGTGTGGTTGGTTCACTTTGCAAAGCCAAAAGAAAGCCCCCACAAATAGGGGTTCTCACGGTTCGGTTAGCTGAACTGTGGACTAATCTTTGAAACCGAATCGGGGTTACTGGTTTTTGGAAAACCAGTAACCAAAACTGAAGTGAAGTCAATTAATTAATCGGTTGACTGGTTCGGTTAACCGTCAGTTTTTTATTATATTTTAAATAATAAATAATATATTATATATAATAAATATATATTTATATATAATGCATATTTATTAATTTATAATGTATAAACAATATAAAATATATATATATATAATATAAATATACATAAAATATATATAAATATGTATACCAGTCGGTTCGGTTAACCGCCGATTTTCCATTTTGATTAACTGAAACCAAACCGATCGGTTTGGTTAACCAAATTTTTTGTTTGGTTTTAATCGATTCGATTTTTTGGTTTTTTCTCACCCCTACCCACAAAACAGCGCTTTCCAAGTATCATGGTTAACAATTTGAGGATGCTGCAATCAGTATAACGAAGCCACCTTACTCAAGATGATTGTTTTGTTGAAACTTCTGACACTGGAATCTCAATCTCAAGTCTTACCACAAAACGTAACATCCTTGAAAACAACATCAAAGAGAACCGTGGGCCTCAAATCAATTGCTATTTTTATTGAAAAAGTAAAAAAAAAAAAAATTGATAAAATGGTGCAAGTTCATGCCCCAAGTTTAATCTGAGCTTTGGACCCAGATCCAGCTTGAGGACCGAAAATCCAAGCCCAGCCCATATAAAATTGTGGACTGCAATAACTTCCCCCCAATAAATAGAAATGGGATCAACTTAGTGTTGGGCCTCCGAATTTTAAGTTTAATCTATCAATTAACCAACCATATGACTGAATGATGATGGTGATGAGTAGCATCTATTAAGCTCTACAGCAATGTTTTCCAACCGCCATTGATTCAGACGGTCAGACCGTTCAGCCCAGAAACCGTTCAGTCAACCAGTTCCATTTTACCCAAAACTCAGAATTTGATAAAAAGCCGTTGAAAAAGTCAACAAACCATTGACCCAGGTGGTTGAACCATCGATCCATGGACCCATTCAACGACTTTTGACCGTTTTTTAAATTTTTTATTTTTTAATTTTACTATCAGGAACGGGCCATCCATTCGAACCGGATGATTGGACTGTTTACGTGAAAACCAGTGGCCAGAACGGTTCCGTTTACAGGTCGTTTTTTAAAACGTTGGCTTCCGATGACCATTATTCCTGTAATACCCAACAATGGGTGGGCGAATAAACTCAAATTTTCATTTGGTAGCTGAACGCTGCATCTCAATTTCTTGAGAAATAAAGTGAATTTAATAAACGTCTGTGCATTATATAATTTGCCCTGATTCCAATTCCATTAGCCTCTGCTTGCAATGTGAATTTCATTTGCCCTGGTGTACGCTCTTTGAAAGAGAATGCGTGCAGGACTTATTTGTTTCAATGAGGTGGTGGTAAGGAGGATGATGTTGACCCTACATGATAGAATTGAGGTGGAAGGTTTACAAGTTTTGCATCAGTTCGTATCAGGTAGGGCTGCAAATCATAGTTACAACTTCAAAAAACTGATCTAGCTGTAAAATTTGTACCCGATTCAGGTTTGCACCCTATAAGGCCGTGTAAAATACCTCTCTTTCATGGTAGTGATCAAGTGGAAGTGATTTAAGAGCTCTGTGTTTCCTTAGGTCAGGTGTATTGCCAAAAGACTGTTCATCTTGTATATGTTCTAATAGATTGAAGTTGACAAAAAATGTAACATTCTTCACAACAGTCGGGAAGAAATAGCTTCCCTTGATTATTTACCAGTGAAACATCAATTTCAAGTAGGCATCTAGTGCGAGCAAGAATAAAATGAAATTGGTTGTATATGGTTTCAGTAATACAAGCAAGAGTTTAGAATTTCTCACTCCTGTGGTACATCACAAGTGAACTATACAAGGTCAAGGCATATTTGGCAAACTCATATCAACTAGTAGCCCTTGTTCCCGCGAATCCGAGCTCTCATGTCAACCTGAGTGAAAAAAATAAAAAGATATGAAAATCATTAGGGCAGCAAATAAAAACTGTCTTCTCAATTCAAAAATGATCTAAGTCCAATCAATTTTCAATTGAATCAATTATGGATCCACCACAATCTGATACATGTATATTTACAAAACAGAGAACTTACCAACATATCAATTTTGAGTTTCTAACGAGAGTTCTTGAGTGGCAAAATTACCATTTAAGACTTAGCAAAACAAATGGTAAACAAATCCAATTTCTCAAAAGATGAGTTCCAAGAGGCATCTTATTGTGGAAGTCCCAGAATTGAAAATCAAAAGGCTTTTGCAATATAACTAAGATCAAAAAAATTTGAATAGCTATTTCTCAATAAGTTCTTCATTCATTTCCAATCAAAATGAGAAACAATGAAACAAAGTGCACAGTACATTTCTTCATAACAATCATTTCTATTTTATTTTCTCTATCTTCACTTTTCACTGTCAATAATTCTTTTGATTTTTGGGCAAATTTCTTATATGACCCCTACTGTTTAGCCAATTGACTAACTATATCCCCACTGTTCAACTATTGTCTTGCACCACTCCTACTGCTTCTAACAATTACCTAAAACCTCCCTTACCGTTAATGCTCCATCATAAACCGTTCACATGTGACATCACGTGACTTATATTTTTCAAAAACCCCTAACTTAGGGCCTGTTCATTTCCTCTTAACTCTGATCTCTTAAGAGGAATCTTTTAACTTTAGGAGAAAAATGGTTGTTTGTTCCTCTTATCTCTTATCTCTAAAAGTGTAATCATACAACTTTTTTGTTTTCCAATGATACCCCCAAAAAGACAAACAAAAACTATCATATATGGGCCAAAATGGATATTTAATAATTTTCAGAATTCATAATTTAGAATTCTCTGCATTCAGAATTCAGAGGAAAGAAAAGTTCACCAATACCAATATACCTCTTAATGTAATTATTGCACTTTCAGTTGTCAGACTTCGGAGCAAACGAACAGGCCCTTACCCTTTTATGGTCGAAGATGCCCTTTTCGATTTGCCCTCTCTAAATCCCGTAGCCGGTGAAAGGGAGTATCTGAGCTCTGTTCTTATCCTTCCTGTAATCATCTTTTCCATTCTGTTTCAGGGCTGACGTGAGCCCTGAAATGGATTGTACAATCCAGTGTGGTGAAGCAATGGTGTGGACAAAAAATCCAACCAGTCGCCGAAGAAGCTAAATGGCATTGATTATTAACGACTACAAGTTGAGGGGGGATATCAGGAGCTTTAATTTGGGTGGGATGGGTTGCAGCGCCCGAGTGATTGCCATCGACCTTGCCAAGGAGATGCTTCAGGTTCACAGAAACATGTGGTTGTCATCAGTCCTGAGAACATTAACCATTACTGGTATTTTGAGAACAAAAGGTCGATGCTGATACCCAATTGCCCCAATGACATAAGACCACGAGCTCTTCCCTTTTCCGTCTCCCCTGCCCTGCCCTTACGCTTCTAGAAGAAAACCGGTCATCAATCTTCACAATCCTATTCCTACATGTTCTCACTTCTTCTATGTGCAAAACCCATCTCTTTTCCACTCACCCCAAAACCCTCAAATCTCAGCCTTTACCATCTCAGGGACCTTGAAAATCTTACCTTATGTCTCTCCAATGGTCATGTCTCTTGGGTTTCTCTGGCTTTTCTTTGTCCTATGCAACCCACTTTCTCACCATTCGTTGAACTCTCCTGTAACGGGTTCAGTGGAGTTGGTAATGGAATTCTTCGCCTAACCAACAAGACCAGCACACTTCCTATCCATCATCCATTCAATTTCAAAACTCCACTGACGGGACTATTTTCTCTTTTTCCACCTTTCACTTTTGCCATCATTCCAGAATAACCATAGCTGCCGAGCGTTAAGATTTCTCTGCAAGAAAATGAGCAATTTATGGAGAGTGAGATATCTCTCTCGATCGACTTCATGAGCTCTCTGAATCCACTTGCAGGCTCGATTTCTTCATCCTGCGGTGGTCGGTCGGATATCGTTGCTTGCTTTCAGGTGCTGCTTCGAGTTTTCTCTTCTATGGTGATGGTGATCGCTCTCTGGATTTTCAGATTTCTCATTTCTCCAATCAAAAGGAATCTGAGTTCATAAGAAGCTTCCCCAGCTCGTTCCACTGCAAATGGGTTCATACAAAGCAACAAAAGGTCACTGTACTAACCCTCCTCTATCCTCTCTAAAAATTGGTTCATACGAAGCTTCCCCAGCTTGGTCCTCTCTGCAAATGGGTTCATACGAAGCAACAACGGTCACTGTAATAACCCTCACCGTTTCCTACTACAGGCCGTGGATAGAGAAGATGCCCCATTTGAATCACCAGAAGGTCATCTCTTCCATGACCCTTGCTTCTCTGACGTCATGCAAGCCCAATCTGTCCTCCAAACCTTAGGGACCATCCTGACGAAAACAGAGCAGCAATCTTCTTTTTTCCTGAAATTTGGGTTTTATTTTGAAAATTTGAGGAATAGTAGAGGGAAAATTTGACATTTCATTTTTTCCGTTCAACAACGATGTCAATTAGCTAAACAGTAGGGGTGGTGCAAGACAATAGTTAAACAGTAAGGGTATAGTTAGTCAATTAGCTAAACAGTAGGGGTAGTTTAAGACAATGTCTCTGACTCTCTGTTATGTGCTTTTTTACGCACAATAAAGTTCTTCCATTTCCTTCTTATAAACTTCATTTCCATGAATAGAGGGGAAGACTGAATTCAAATATAGTTGTAATAGGGCGAGAGGAAAGGAATATAATCAGATGGTCCAGTCTTTAGACACTTTGTATACATGCTAATATACTGTCCCCAGTTGGGGTGTATATGCTTTTTTCAGGACAACCTCTATACATAATACGAAATTACATTTACCTTTCAAATAAAAATAGGCGAAATTACATCAATGGAAAATTTAGGGGGTGTTCTACAACATGAATGTTCTTGTTTTCATTTATTTTTGGAATCACCACACCAGCAAAAAAACAAAAACATGTTCTTGAGATTTTTTTTTCATAGGGAAAAACAAGTTGGTTTTGTTTCAAAAAACAATACATGTTTTTGGAACCAACAAAATATTGGTTTTTAAAACAAAAACAAACTTCCTAATATAGAAATTATATGATTTATGGAACATGATGTTGAACGATCAGATAAAAACATGCTTTTGAAACCAGATTCAAGAACGTGTTTTCAGTTTCAGTTTTGACAACAAAAATACACATACAAAATGGTTTTGATTTGTTTCATGTGTTTTTTGTTTTAAGAAACAATATGTTACAAACAAAATGGTTTTGATTTGTTTTTGGAACTGGCAACAAGAAAAACTATTCATTTTGTAGCATGCCCCCTTAAGGTGAGATAAAATGCAACAGAAAGGCCAGAAATTGGTAGACTGAAACTTAACTATGATGGCTGCTGCACTGCTTAGGCAATCCAGGCCCATATCGATTTGGGGGAGCCATCAGAAATCATGAAGAGGAATTCCGACTCAGTTATTGCAGATCAGCTGGAGAAGGGAACTCTTCGAAGGCTGAAACACTAGCACTTCTCCAATGTCTTAGTCTAAGTAGGTCAATGGGCTGAACTGCATTTTGAATATAAGGTGACCATCATGTCGTGATTGGATGGCTCACATCAGAAGATCAAGGTCCATGGAACCTAATACATTTTGATAAGAGAAATCAAGCTACCGGTATAGTGGTATCCACTATGAACCACTAACTGAAATGGAACCCCCGGTCAGCAAACTGTGTAGCAGATATGCTAGCCAGGGAAGGAGTAAACAAAAAACTGGATAGGGGTATGCCTGGAGCTGAGAGAGATTTGTATCAAAACCATTTTTAAATGCTTATATAAACCATGCTGGCAGCCTGATCAGTTTGTACAAGTCCAGTCCTGCATTTTGTCCATTGAATTTATTATAGTCCTCTCCAAATATTAATAGAATAAATATTACTGAAAAAAATTGAAATGCTAATTAGCATCTGAACAGCCCTAGTAACAACTAACAAGCTACAACAACACAGCAGGATCAAGTAAAGGCATGCTAAGAGGAAACCTTGCCATCTGTTTACTAATATTTTCATCATATTTTTACAAATTATTAGTCCAGGTTACAAATTTCAGTGCTCGACAGTCTCATAAAAAACTTACAAAGGAGTAGAATCACTCTAGGGCACCAGCCCTTTCTCTTCCCTGGTTCTTCTGATCAAGAAAAAAGATGGGTCCTGGAGGTTCTGTGTTGATTATAGGGCCCTGAACCAAGCCACCATTAAGGATCGTTTCCCAATCCCAATGATTGACAAATTACTAGATGAGTTGGGCCAAGCCAGGATATTCTCCAAAATGGACCTGAGGTCTGATTACCATCAGATAAAAGTTCATGATGATGATGTGCACAAACACATGACGGACACTCAGAGTTCATTGTTATGCCATTTGGGTTGACAACTGCCCCCCTCCCACCCTTTAGGCTATTATGAATGATCTTTTCCGTCCATATTTGCAGCAGTTTATTTTGGTGTTCTGTGACAATATACTCATATATCCAGGATAGGGACTCCCAAATACTCAAAACAAATCAGTTATTTGCCAAGCAGTCCAAGTGCACCTTTGGACAGACCCAGGTCCATTATCTCAGTGATGTAGGACAAGCTCAGTTCTAGTCCTTAGAGAATGTTGAATGGTCTTCTTGATCAGAGTTTTACGGCTGTTGATGGCTGTAATGGCTTCTTGAAGGAATAAAAGGGAAAATAGGGAGAAAAAGAAGAGAGAAAATACCTGGAATCACTCATAGGGTTCCTAGAATCACTCTAGGGCATGGGAATCACTCACCATAAATAGCATAAGCTGAAGAAAACTCAATCTAATTCATTGCCTTTGTGTAAAACGTCCATACATATTTATAGACTCTAAACTCATAATAATCCTAGGAGTCAAACTGTTAGATTCATAATAGTCTAGGGA